CCCCCCCCTGCCCCCTGTCCCCCGCCCGCGCTCACCAACCTCTAGACAGTAGAACCAGGCATCTATTTCTCCCCACACCAACTCGCACCTATCCGCAGCTCGCCATACATCGACCACCCCCTCCTCTCCACGTACGAAAGTGTAGGAGGGATAAGACTCGAAGATGTGGTGTTGATTACTGAGGAGGGGTGTGAGAACTTGACTGGGTGTGTGAAGGGGTTGGAGGAGGTGGAGAGGTTGGCTTCGGGCGCTTGGGGTGCTGGGGCTGATTAAGTTGGGATTTGGTAAGTCGCTTGGCGCTGGCGGTGTCTACCCGGGGGCGGGCTGGCTGGGGTTTTGCCAAGCTGGGTTGACGGGTTTGGTTGATGGATATGCAGAATCGTAACTGTAACCGGAATCGTAGCCTGAATCAGAGAATGTCTTCACAGCTAGGTAAAGAGCCGGAAGACTCGATCCCAATCCCAATCCCCAAGAAAAACAACCGGGCGGCTGGTGCAAGAAAGTCATCAAGTTGGCAGTCTTGACCAGTAGGCGATGCCCTTGGACTTGAAGCTATTTATCGCTGGAGATCCCCATACTTTGTCTTCTCCGGAATATAAGGACTGCTGTCCCGGAATGCAACAGGAATACCCGAGTTGAAATGCGGGACGACGCAGGTGGGGAGCGTATACTTGTATGTAGTAGCAAGTGAAGATTGTATGTTCGCTATTTGCCAGAGAATGACATAGCAAACGCTATTCGACACTAATTCGAATGTATAGTGAGAGGTATTAAGAAATCTTACAAAGCATCTAGACTTCAAAGTGGTGCGGAATGTGTTAAGCAAGTGAGGTGAAAGGTTAAGTAAATATACGGGCGGACGCAACCCTAGATCCTAGTGAAATGGCAAGAACAGGGAGTCCCCTCGCCGCCAGGTAGCATGGTGCAGTGGTCAAGGTCACTGGGGTTACTATATCGTGAATCCAAACATATAGACGTTGGGGTGCCTCGTTGTTGTTTATTGCGTGCTTGGGATGGTTTTCGACAAAAATGTCTCGGAGCCGAGGGGGTAAAACTCCGATCTCAGAGACAAAACAACGACAATGCTGACCCTTGACGTCTCTTATTCGGCCCTTTCATGGCGTTTATGCTCACCTATTGTCTTCAAGCCTTGTGAAGCAAGGACACGCCAACGTGGATGAGGTCAAATGTCGTCGGCAAAAAAAATGCAGGTTTCTCTCCGATTGTTGGCTTGTGAAAGACCAATCCAGCGTACAACACATGCCGCTACGCTGCATCACTCTTCTCTTATTTTCTTGCCTATACTATATCGTCAAGCTACAAAAGATCCTAGGATGATTGAAAACTGAATTGCATTCATCTGTTCCTAAATCGCCCATAATAACTGATGAGTGGTATGGATCGCGCAAATAACCGAGACTCGACACATAAGGTACTACTAGTACGTCCCTCCTCTTTCCACCCTTCCTCGTATCCCACAACTCACAGCTGCAATAAAGCGACCTGGAAATCAGTTTTGTCCATGTCGATCGGCGTCCATCCCTGTCTCTTCCAGCATTATATGGGCAGCATCCGACCGCGAAGGGTCATACCTCCCAATTCAGCACGCACCTCCGGGATTGGCTCGTCAACCGTACCAAACTTCAGGAAAGGGGAGGAATATTTGAGTTACTCGGTACAGAGTTGCAAGGTGGACTGTTCCCTATTTGGACTTAGAGCCTGATTAGTTCTTAGCCGTAAGTCTGAAGCACTGCACCAATAGCACATCCCGACCGGCATATGTGAAATGAGCAGCTTGCGGACAGCACCAATATCGCCAGCCTCGTTCCACCTTGACGGCGCTTAGGCACTGCTAGTAGATAGCTCTTCCATTTATAAGGATTACTGTCTGGGGATGCTACAGGAACACCCGAGTCGAGAGTTGGAATGCGGGACGTTGCAGGCGGGGCTAAGTACAGTACATGTACCAGTGCTATTCCTCACTGTCTCTATTTCTGGTCCTAGGGACCCGAACACAGAGCCCTTCGACTTTCGGAAACTGTCATTCTGTCAACATCAGATAGTTGTACAATAGGAAGAGTTGGTTTGGCTATATGCATGCGGATGGGATACAGTACAGTGTACAGTGTACAGTGTATAGTGATTATCCACTACCCTCCCCGCCCATCCCCCCGTCTCCTCCCCATCCGCTGTCTATCCGTTCCCTCCGTTCCCTGAGTCCCCTCCATTCCCCGTGCCGTTTCCCGAGCTGCTGCCAGATAATCCTGAAGATCCTGAAGAGCCGGAGGAGCCGGAGGATCCTGAAGAGCCAGAGCCAGACGAGCCACTCTGGCTACTCAAGTTCTGCTCGTTATACTCCTTCCTCGGGTCATACCCAAACAGTCCATTATATCCATTCGGCGCATAGTTCGGAAACGGGTCATTCGCACTCTTGGAACCATGATCCCGCTCGTCATCCCAGTTCTTATAATCCACGCCGTTGCCTTCGTGTAGCTGCTGCTGATGCAGGGGAAGAGACCGCTGCTGCGGTCGGGAGGGCTGCGGGGCGCTGTGGGGCTGATATTGCTGCTGGCTGCCGTAGGACTGGTATTGTTGCTGAGGGCGATACTGTTGCTGGGCACCGTAGGACTGGTATTGCTGTTGGGGGCGATATGGCTGCTGGCCGCCGTACGACTGATTACCCTGCGTCCCGGTTGGGTACCCACCGAATCCCGTGACAGCTGCAGGTTTGTGTCAGGAATGGCAAACAACACAGAAGTCTACACTCACGCTTGCCGGTAGAGAACAGCCGCTGGAGTCTCTCTGCCATACTGGTCGGCCGGAGGGATATGGAGCAGTCACATCAATCGGTCGTGATATATGTATGCCTCGAGCTCCTTATCACGCTGCTCAAGACCGGATCTTCTTCCTCTGCGGGCGGGTTTGTGGCATGATTATCTGGTGATCCTTCGTTACTCGACTATTTCTGGAGAAGAGCAATGAACAATTGGATGTGTCATGGCAAGATGTGAGCCAATCGCAGGAACAGGAGCGCGCAGGTGACAACAGGCAGGGAGTACACAAATGTTTCCCCGGAATTAGGGATTGGACTGTTGCGTCCTTCCATTCATTCGTTGTTGTGGAGGGTGGGCACTAATCGGGACTGCAATCTCAGGATCGAGCCTATCGGGAAGAGATCCTCATCCAGTTTGAAGTAGGCAGTAGCAACCGAAGGTATCGGACGACGTCTCGACGCAACACCGAGGTGCTCAGAGGCTGATCTGCAGAACTCGCAGCGAGTACAGAGGTTGTTG